GCAAGCGGCCCCGCGCTCGCTCTCGTCTGGATTCGCCTCACGCCCCGCTGCTGCGTTGGATATTCCTGTTGTTTGTCTATATTCGTGCAAGCCTGACGGCGCACTCGCGCGCCGCCTGACCCCCCTTCTGCTCTGGCGCGTGGGATCCCGTGAACAGCTTCGTTGAAATAAATGCTATTGTGACGCTCTTTTATACTGCTAGTTCCCCCCCTCGTACAATCCTCTCTTGTCCTTCCTCGTCCTCGCCCTTCTGTCCTCCTTCGGCTCTGCCGTCCTCGGGATTTCGGCCCCGCCCACCCTCCTCTCGAGGGGGGAGTTTCCGCGCGTGGGCTCTGTGGGCCTGGAGGGCCACCTGGAATGCCAGGTCAAGCACCGATTTTGGGAGGCCCATTTCGGGCTCGCGCTGGTCCCGCGCGGGGACTTTCGAACGCACTTTGGGGCGAGCGGCCCCACGCTCGCTCTCGTCTGGATTCGCCTCACGCCCCGCTGCTGCGTTGGATATTCCTGTTGTTTGTCTATATTCGTGCAAGCCTGACGGTGCACGCGTGCGCCGCCTGACCCCCCTGCAGCTCTGGCACGTGGGATCCCGTGAACAGCTTCGTTGAGATAAATGTAAGTGTAACGCTCTTTTATACTGTTAGTTCCCCCCCCATCGTACAATCCTCTCTTGTCCTTCCTCGTCCTCATCCTTCTGTCCTCCTCCGGCTCTGCCGTCCTCGGGATTTCGGCCCCGCCCGCCCTCCTCTCGAGGGGGGAGTTTCCGCACGTGGACTCTGTGGGCCTGGAAAGTCACCAGGAATGCCAGGTCAAGTGCCGGATTTGGGAGGCCCATTTCGGGCTCGTGCTGGTCCCGCGCGGGGACTTTCGAATATAATTTGGGGCAAGCGGCCCCGCGCTCGCTCTCGTCTGGATTCGCCTCACGTCCCGCTGCTGTGTTGGATATTCCTGTTGTTTGTCAATATTCGTGCAAGCCTGACGGTGCACGCGTGCGCCGCCTGACCCCCCTTCAGCTCTGGCACGTGGGATCCCGTGAACAGCTTCGTTGAGATAAATGTTCTTGTGGCGCTCTTTTATACTGCTAGTTCCCCCCCCTCGTACACTCCTCTCTTGTCCCTTCTCGTCCTCGTCCTTCCGTCCTCCTTCGGCTCTGCCGTCCTCGGGATTTCGGCCCCGCCCACCCTCCTCTCGAGGGGGGGAGTTTCCGCGCGTGGACTCTGCGGGCCTGGAGGGTCACCTGGAATGCCAGGTCAAGTACCGATTTTGGGGGGCCCATTTCGGGCTCGCGCTGGTCCCGCGCGGGGACTTTCGAACATACTTTGGGGCAAGCGGCCCCGCGCTCGCTCTCGTCTGGGTTCGCCTCACGTCCCGCTGCTGTGTTGGATATTCCTGTTGTTTGTCTATATTCGTGCAAGCCTGACGGTGCACGCGTGCGCCGCCTGACCCCCCTTCAGCTCTGGCACGTGGGATCCCGTGAACGGCTTCGTTGCAATAAATGTTCTTGTGACGCTCTTTTATACTGCTAGTCCCCCCCCCCCCTCGTGCAATCCTCTCTTGTCCTTCCTCGTCCTCGTCCTTCTGTCCTCCTTCGGCTCTGCCGTCCTCGGGATTTCGGCCCCGCCCACCCTCCTCTCGAGGGGGGAGTTTCCGCACGTGGACTCTGTGGGCCTGGAGGGTCACCTGGAATGCCAAGTCAAGTGCCGATTTGGGGGGGCCCATTTCGGGCTCGTGCTGGTCCCGCGCGGGGACTTTCGAACGCACATTGGGGCAAGCGGCCCCACGCTCGCTCTCGTCTGGACTCGCCTCACGTCCCGCTGCTGTGTTGGATATTCCTGTTGTTTGTCTATAAGCCGGACGGTGCACGCGTGCGCCGCCTGACCCCCCTTCAGCTCTGGCACGTGGGATCCCGTGAACAGCTTCGTTGAAATAGATGTTCTTGTGACGCTCTTTTATACTGCTAGTCCCCCCCCGTGCAATCCTCCCTTGTCCTTCCTCGTCCTCGTCCGTCTGTCCTCCTTCGGCTCTGCCGCCCTCGGGAATTCGGCCCCGCCCACCCTCCTCTCGAGGGGGGAGTTTCCGCACGTGGACTCTTGTGGGCCTGGAGGGTCACCTGGAATGCCAAGTCAAGTGCCGATTTGGGGAGGCCCATTTCGGGCTCGTGCTGGTCCCGCGCGGGGACTTTCGAACATACTTTGGGGCAAGCGGCCCCACGCTCGCTCTCGTCTGGATTCGCCTCACGTCCCGCTGCTGTGTTGGATATTCTTGTTGTTTGTCTATATTCGTGCAAGCCTGACGGTGCATGCGTGCGCCGCCTGACCCCCCTTCAGCTCTGGCACGTGGGATCCCGTGAACAGCTTCGTTGAAATAAATGTTAGTGTAACGCTCTTTTATACTGTTAGTTCCCCCCCCCTCGTACAATCCTCTCTTGTCCTTCCTCGTCCTCGTCCTTCTGTCCTCCTTCGGCTCTGCCGTCCTCGGGATTTCGGCCCCGCCCACCCTCCTCTCGAGGGGGGAGTTTCCGCACGTGGACTCTGTGGGCCTGGAGGGTCACCTGGAATGCCAGGTCAAGTACCGATTTTGGGAGGCCCATTTCGGGCTCGTGCTGGTCCCGCGCGGGGACTTTCGAACACACTTTGGGGCAAGCGGCCCCACGCTCGCTCTCGTCTGGATTCGTCTCACGTCCCGCTGCTGTGTTGGATATTCCTGTTGTTTGTCTATATTCGTGCAAGCCTGACGGTGCACGCGTGCGCCGCCTGACCCCCCTTCAGCTCTGGCACGTGGGATCCCGTGAACAGCTTCGTGGAAAAAAATGTTATTGTAACACTCTTTTATACTGCTAGTTCCCCCCCCCCTCGTACAATCCTCTCTTGTCCTTCCTCGTCCTCGTCCTTCTGTCCTCCTTCGGCTCTGCCGTCCTCGGGATTTCGGCCCCGCCCACCCTCCTCTCGAGGGGGGAGTTTCCGCACGTGGACTCTGTGGGCCTGGAGGGTCACCTGGAATGCCAGGTCAAGTACCGATTTGGGGAGGCCCATTTCGGGCTCGTGCTGGTCCCGCGCGGGGACTTTCGAACATACTTTGGGGCAAGCGGCCCCACGCTCGCTCTCGTCTGGATTCGCCTCACGTCCCGCTGCTGTGTTGGATATTCCTGTTGTTTGTCTATATTCGTGCAAGCCTGACGGTGCACGCGTGCGCCGCCTGACCCCCCTTCAGCTCTGGCACGTGGGATCCCGTGAACAGCTTCGTTGAAATAAATGTTAGTGTAACGCTCTTTTATACTGTTAGTTCCCCCCCCCTCGTACAATCCTCTCTTGTCCTTCCTCGTCCTCGTCCTTCTGTCCTCCTTCGGCTCTGCCGTCCTCGGGATTTCGGCCCCGCCCACCCTCCTCTCGAGGGGGGAGTTTCCGCACGTGGACTCTGTGGGCCTGGAGGGTCACCTGGAATGCCAGGTCAAGTACCGATTTTGGGAGGCCCATTTCGGGCTCGTGCTGGTCCCGCGCGGGGACTTTCGAACATACTTTGGGGCAAGCGGCCCCACGCTCGCTCTCGTCTGGATTCGCCTCACGTCCCGCTGCTGTGTTGGATATTCCTGTTGTTTGTCTATATTCGTGCAAGCCTGACGGTGCACGCGTGCGCCGCCTGACCCCCCTTCAGCTCTGGCACGTGGGATCCCGTGAACAGCTTCGTTGAAATGCTTGATCTTGGGCCACCCCGAGCCACAAGAGGCTCCCCGCCGTGGGCTCGGGCGGCCCGCCGGCCCAAATCTCCGACGAGTTTGCTCTTCCATCCCGGCGGTCTTCCTCGATCTCCGCCTCTGGGGCCCTGGGTGGGGCAGGGCGGAGCCAGGACGAGACTCCTCGGGGGAGGATCTGATCGAGAATCTCTGAGGTGCGGCGGCTCTGGAAAATGTCTCGGGCGCCGCGGCCTTCTCAGAGCGCTCCGGAACGCTCTGAGAGCGTTCCGGAACGGCCTCATCCTCGTCCCAGCACCGTCCGTCCGATTGCACACCTGGGGGATGGGCCGGGACCTCTGGGGCCGCGCATCGAAAAAGAAAACATCTTCGGATGTACAGGCAAGTCTTGGCGCGAGGCAGGGTCGTCACGGAGGGGAGGGGTCAGTGAGCTCTGGATCGAGTAATCGGATCGGATCGGATGATGTGCGTCGGATCGGGTTGCATTGCGGCACGGAATCGAGGTCGACCCAGATCGGCCGCGCAAGGATGCACAACAGCGCCATGCATGCAAGCATGGGGTAGCACCGGATCGCCGGGAATCAAAGTCGGATGGGGTCGGGCCAACTGAGATGGATACCGAATCGGTCCGGCAGGGTCGGAGTGGGACCCGAGGGGCCAGCTTACAGGGGGTCGATCGGGCCGCCCCCGCGCTGGACTCCACCCCTCCTGCCTGAGAGGGATGGGGGAGGAGGGGGCTGGCCCAAGCCAAGGTGGCCTCAGGGAAGTTTCAATGTCCTGCAGGTCACTGGCGTCCCAACTGATGGGAAAGGGGCTCACGATGCAGCACCACGGAGGCAGATGAGGAAGGAGCAGGAAGGAGGAGGAGGAGGAGGAGATGAGGCCAGAATCGATGTCGAATCGGACCGACTGGACATTACATGCCAGTGCGGCGCGGATCCTGCGGCACGCCGCCCAAGATCGCTGTGGCGCGGAGATGCCTTCGGCGGGGGGCGAGAAAGAGGGGGAGAGGGGGAAGAGAAGCAGCAGGAACCATCCCCGAACGGCCGCCCCCACGTGGCTGCCCTGAAGGCAGGGGGCCGCAGTCGGTCGTTGCCGAGCGCGTTCCACTACTCGCAGAGTGCCTACTCGCAAACGTCAGAAAAACACATGTCTGCTCTGATATCATTTATCGTAGATCCCCCGCGATGGATCCAGGCCACTTCCGAGCAGCTACTTTGCGAGCAGTGGAACGCGCTCGTGGAGGTCGGGCCGCCCCCGCGCCCGCTGCCGCCACTCCCCCGTCGCTGCCGCCGCGCCGGGCCGCCCGTGGCGCCTCGCCCTCCCCGAGCAGCTCGAAGCCGCGGATGCCGATCGGCCCCAGCTCCGCCTCGCGGCCGTCCTCGCCGCCGCGGGGGGGGGGGGGACGGAGCGCACGGCGCCTCCGCGCGGCCACTGGAGAATCGCCGACGACCAGCGAGAGCGTCCGAGCGGGGACGCGGGCAGCGTGTCGCGCCGAGGCGCGGTGGGCCAGAGGCGGCGGCGTGACGCAGCGCCTGCACCGCTCTCCGGTGCATCCGCCCCCTGCTGCCACTGAGAGGACGGGGCCCCGAGAGGTCTCGCCGTCCGATGGCAGGGCCAGCTGCAGGTGGTGCTGGCTGGCGTTGCCGGCGTGTCTCGGGCGATCGAGCGGGGAGTCTCCGCTCGAGACGCTCGAGGCACTCGAGACGCTCGGACCTTGGGCCTGCGGCACTCTCCCGCGGGGGCGTGTCGCAGGGCGGCGCCGCAGCACGGGGCATGTGTGTGTGGCTGGACAACAGGCGGCCCGCACGCCCGCACGCTCACAGAGTGAAGCGCACCGAGAAGGCATCCAGCGTCGTCCTGCCCACATGCAGCATCGACGAAGTCCCGTTTGCCAGGTGCGGCCTCGGAGGCCCCCATTCTGGGCCCGCGTAGTGCACAGTGTCATCAGACCACCGCGTTCTCGGATGACCCTGTCGTCGTCGTGAACCACATATTGGATCGCGTTGGGGGCCCCATGCTGAGACCCCCAATGCAAACAGGGTTGGGCATCACAAGTCTTGCGATGGGACTCCTCTCGAAGAGTTGTGGCGTCCATTCGTGATCCGCAACAACGCTCTCTTTACGGGTCCATCTCCATGCTCATCGACGCTTGAACGATACCCTATCTATGATACTTGAATTTTGTGTGTGTGTGGGTCGTTGGCCTTCCAGTAAACACCCCCTGTCACCGGCTAGGGGAGGCATCGCGGACCTCCTCGCTGGAGGTCGCACCCTTGGTGATTGTGGCATCGATTATTTTTTGTGGCGCAAGCTAAAAGGTCCTGAAGCAAACGAATTCTAAATCCCAGGGCATTCCCCAAGACACGTTTTTCGTCCAGAGCCATTCCCCTAAACATCTTGGACGAAGACGGCGAAACACCTAGGGACCCATTTCGCTCAAGACAGGTTTGCTTCATCGTGATCTGCTTCGAAACAAAGCAACAAAAAAACATAACCATAATTTCTCTGAGGTCCGCGCGAATTTCTTGGGTCCGCGCTGGACATCCTTGGAGGGGCCGCTCCAGCGTGGTTCCAACAAATACGCATCAAACTCCGACCAACATAAGATTATAAAATTATTTGGTCTTCGTTATTATGGGGGAAACGGGTGGGTACCCGAGGAAAACGGGTCCTGGACCCTGGTGCAAAGACAAATCGTTGATCCTGAACCGCTTTCTGACGCTCCAGGGGAACGTGGAGGGCCCCAAGAGCTCGAAAACACGGCAAAATCTCAGGACCCGGTTCCTCTCAGGACCCGCTTCCCCCATGGCGAGAAGTCCTTTGTGTTTTTGGTTCCTGTGTCTTCCTGTGCGAGGGAAGACGCCGGGGCGGAGGCTCCTGCAGGCGGAGGGTCCCCCTGTCGATCAGGGTCTGGAGGTACTCCTGCCGCCGCGGGGCGCCCGCCGAGGCACCCCCGTCGCCGCGCCGCCCGCCTCCGACCAGCTGCCCCCCCCGCCCGCTGCCCAGGGTTCGCGGGGGGCTGGAGGAGCAAGCGCCGAACTCCGAGTGTGGGCTTCCCCAGAAGCCCGGGGCACTGTGGACGTGGACAAAAGCCGTGCCCCTGGAAGCTGAATATTAAACGGAACTGGGCGACAATGGTCCCCCGGGGATAATCCAATTCGGGGTTCTGGCGGAGATGATAAACCATCTTGCCGGGGAAGGTAAGTTATGATGGTGGTGATGGTGACGATGACGGTGATGATGATGATCGTGATGCTGATGACGGCGCAAGACTCACTCGAGAGATCTCCAGGCTCGTGACGAAGCAGGCGCGCGGCACAAGGCTGACTGGAGAGATCTCGAGGCTCGCGGCTGTACAACTTGCCAGCAGGCGCTCGGCACAAGGCTGACTCGAGAGCTTTCGAGGCTCGTGGCTATACAACTTGACAGGAGGCCCTCGGCGCAAGGCTGACTCGAGAGCTTTCGAGGCTCTGTGCGAGGCCGAAGTCGTGCGGGGCGAGGGGCTTACCCTCGGCGCTCGCAAGCTCTCGGCGCACGGCCGCGGCCGCGAGTCGCTCCTGCATGGGGGGGGGAGGGAATTCTCGCAGTATTACAGTCGACTCGCGCAGTAAGAATGGGCGGCAAAGATGCGAGGTCCTTGCAAGGCCCGGAGACGGGCCGAAGTGGCAATAATGCAAGGGTATAGCACGATTGCTCATCCCCACCACGAGCAGGAAGAGAGGATTAAGAATGGTGGGAGACAGAGTGAGAGAGAGAGAGAAGAGGATGGCCCCAGGCTAGGTTTTGGGAAAAAGTGACATTTGGGCCTTATGTTTTTGTATGTGTGAAAAACAACTTCTTTTTAATCGTTTTCAGGAGCGCATGGAAGGGGCTCCATGGTGGGGCCCCGCGGGGGATGAAAAAAACCCGGAGATAAAACATCGGCCCCTGGGGTGGGGGGGGGGCGGAAGGAAGAGAAAGAGAAAAGGAAGATAAGCAAAAGGAAAAGAAGAAGGAAGAGAAGGCACATCATGTTTGAAGCTGTTGCTAGCCAGCACGAAGAGATAGCAACTTCGAACCGAAACATAAAGAGATAGCAACTTCGAACCGAAACATAAAAGAAGAGGAACAACATAAACATTAATAATAACAAATCCGAAGGAAGATGAGGATGAGAGAGGATCCCACAGCCCGGCCACACGCTCGCGACAGCGGAAACTGGTGTTAGCAACTTCGATCCCCGCAACTTTCCCGTGGATTATGAAATTCGGCCTCCGCGCCTTCCCCACAGATAGATCCCTGAGGTCGGGGATAAAAAATAAAGGGGGGAAAAGGGGGCGGGGGGGTACTCTATTATCGCCCGTCGGCGGTTACCCACATCCACTGCGCCTCGGCCGTGTGGCGCCCCCTCCCAGGAAATCCAAGACGCACTGGATATGGATATACGTAAGTCTTGCCCGCACCGAGATATAACCGAGACAGAACCTCCTGCGAGGGGCGACTGACTCGGGGGGACTGGCTCGGGGGGACTGCCACAGGGCGCAGGGCATGAGCCAAAGCCCCCGGAGGTCCGAACGGACCCCAGAACCCCGCGCGGACCTTCGAACATTCATTGGTTTACGAACATGGTTCTTCTTCGATCTTCCTTGTCCTCCTCCTTCTCCTCCTCTTCCTCCCGTCGCCTCCCCCCTCCCCTCCGCCTCCCTTGTCCCCACCCCCCTGGAGTCCACGAGGTGGACGAGCTGGAGGAGATGGAGGACGAGGAGCTGGAGCAGGAAGGTGGAGTGGAGAAGGAAGAGGTGGAGAGTAGGCGATCGACTATAAAATTGAGTTACCCCAAGCTTGGCTTTCTCGTCGAACCTACAACACCAACACGAATACTGTTCGTTGGTCTACGAGCACTGTACGCATCTATCGTGGACTCGACGAACCTATACAGTCTGGGGCGCATCAATTCTGTAGTCGATCCCCGACTCGAGAGGTGGAGACGGGGGAAGATGTAGGTGGGGAGGAGGCGGGAAGAGGAGACAGGAGGGAAGACGAGAAAAGGAGGCGGGGGAGAAGGGTCGACGAGGAGGGGCCAGGAGAGAGACCGCAGGCCCATCCCAAAAACGTTCGCGCGTCGTCAACACAACACACGACGGGCACGTTTACACGGCGATCGGAAGATGTAGGCAGAAATGTGAAGCATGAAGGCGGATCAAGTATATTGGGTTCAGGCCCTTCCCGGTAATTACAAAAACACAGCAAATGCATACCGATTATTGAAATGGGAGGACGGCTGTAAAGCAGATTGGGATCTGGACATCCAAGAATGCCGACTTTCAACGACTGGCGTGTATTTTGGGAGCCCTCGCAGACCCTGGGGCCATCGAGCGCTGGTGGTCTGGGACTGCGATCTCCATTGTGCAAGTGGCTGGGGGAAAACGACACACCCGCGAGCGACAAAAACGACCCGACAAGACGCAAGACTCCTCTGAGAACAACGTGGAACAACAGAACCACGAAACATGTGGTACGAAACATGTGGGAACGAAACAAATCACAACGAACCGCTGAAAGCTCCGTGTCTGCACAACTCGCCAAACTAGCTCAATACGAATCGCGGACCGTCCATCGATCAACTATTTGGGATCGTCGTGTATCATAAAGCTCTGGCCTAAGTGATATCCGTGTTGCCCACCGCGCAAAAACTAGGTCGCCAACCAAGAGCGCCAACAGATACGAATCGTTGGGACGAAGCCTCGAAACGATCCAGAATGATGTTCGCAACATCGGTTTTACATATAAGCGTATCGAACTATAGTCACACATACACACATATATATATATATATATATATATATCATACGTGTAAATACAAAAAAATGTACATATGTGTGCCTAGATCTAATACATGGCGGAAGAATGTATAGATATATCCGCCTTCGTGCTCTGTGGCACAAAGTGGAATGTCCTCGGGTCCTGCCGGATATTCCCTGTTTAAAATATGACGTACTCTTCAAGGGGCCAACAGCCTAGAATTACGTGCGCTCTGGGACGCTCCCAAAAGTCACCGCGTGACTTTTGGAGAAGTCATAGGCGCGGCGCTCGGGACATGCATGTCCAACCTGGCTTCAGACATCGACCTGGAGCCCTCTTGGTCGCCTCTTGGGCCGTCTTGGAGGCCCTGGAGGCGGGCCAAGAGGCCCAAATAGTTAACATCCATGAGTTTTGGTATGGTTTTGGCAGTACCACATTGTCGGTCTTCACAGCGTCAACGACGGCCCAAAAGGCGCCCAATATCGGTCAACAACTGCACAAGAACCCCCAAGAAAGGCCCAAGCGGCCCCCAAGACAACCCAAGAACAAAATGACGAGCACGAACTGAAATTTCGAGCCCTCCGCCCCAAGATGGACCCAAGATCCCCCAGAGGCCTCCGAGGTTCGCCCAAGACGCAGCAAGAGGAACCCAAGAAGCCACGGGAGGCCCAAAGCAGGCCTGGGGGGACACTTAGAAACGACTCTCAACCGGCCTCCAAGAAGCTTCCGAGGAGGTATCCAAAGAGATCCTCACGGGCATCCAACAGGCCTCTGACCGAAAAACCAAGCACAATAGCGGGATGGGTTGAAAACCACCGCAGGGATACCTATACATATATATATATATATATATGTATGTATATATAGTTTTACACATGTATGTCAATAGTGTACTACTATATGCATACATGCATGCATGCATATGTAAATACGCATCCCCGCTCGGAAGAAGTGCCCCCCCTCAGCCGGCACTGTTTTGAACAACCGACTGCCGCGGACGCGATGGCACGCGTCAAGTGCCTGATGGGGGTGAAAAGACGCTAGACTGCTCACCAGGAAGACTCCGAAAACTTATCCTCGTTTTCGCTTGCTCCGAAAAGGCTGGCCGCCCTGGAGGGGCCACGCTCAACACTGCATAGAACTACGAGCGTGAAAAGAGGAAGAAAAAAAGGGGGGGAGGCCGGGGAACGGGTGGTACCGAAAAGGCGATGGAGGACACCGACAGCGAGATAACGCACCAACATGCATACATCCCCGCTCGGAATAAGTGCCCCCCCCAGCCGCCACTGTTTTGAACAACCGACTGCCGCGGACGCGATGGCACGCGTCAAGTGCCTGAGGGGGTGAGAAGACGCTAGACTGCTCACCAGGAAGACTCCGAAAACTTCTCCTCGTTTCGCTTGCCACGGCTTGCCAGCATTTCATTGCGCAGGACCTTGTTGAGTGAGGCCAACAGTCGTCCAGGCAGATCTTTTCGGAGCTTATGTGCTTGGGCCACATGACTATGGGAGACCTTCTGGATGCTTCGGAGCAACGCCGCAGGCTTCATATAGATCCGACAACTTTCTGCGCACATCCAGCGGCCACGGCTCTGAATGTCAGGCAGGCCAACCCCGTCCTTGCACGCATCGTGCGACGGGCCTCCGTGCCGCATCCCGTGCGGCACCACCTTGTAGCCCAGGTGGTCGGAGGCTTGGTTGAAGGCCTTCTCGACAGCAACCAGCGCGAGCCCTCTGAACGGCAGCTCGCCCGGCTTCGTCCGCTCGAAGACAGTCTTGGGCAGTGGCTCCATCCAGCGTCAATCTTGCCAGGCGGCCACCACCCCCGCGTCGAACTGCCTGTTCTTGGCGTGCCTGTCTCTGGTCGAGGGGGGCCACCGTGATGCCCCACTTCTGGATCGAGGCGCCCTTCACGGGCGGGCACGGGTCCCCCTTGCGGAGCTCGATCGCCTCGGACGGCCTGAGGTAGCCGCCCCAGGCCAGCGCGGCGAAGAACCCGACGAGGTGCAGCTCGTGCTGGATGAAGAAGTCGACGAACAGCCAGAGCATCTCCTCGCGCGGTGGGTCCCGAGACTTCTCTGGCGCTCTTCGAGAGAAAGCGCGCAGCGTGGCCTCGGCAAGCGCGCAGCAGCTGGGGGACTT